AGTAAGACACAACGATTAGAGCAGACCAGTAATGTGGGGGGATAAGTGAGGCAAAGCTTCGGCTGTGTTCGTGTTCCGTAACACGCATCAAAAAGGCCTGCGCAAATTTGCAGCTAGTGCATTAAACTGAACTGTCTCACCTTCTCTTGTCATTTACCAGCTGACATGAGAAACGTGCTCATGTAAAAACTGAAACCATGAAACTGGCCTGACTTAACAGCATCACATTATCGTATACAAATGAATCATAAAGATACTGAAATATGTGACGTCACAAAACTCGACAGAAAACTTCATTCTAAGCTGACAAAGAGCTATCCAATGATATGTAAATGTTTCGATGGTAGAAAAAGATGTCTGAAGAATAAGTATGTTCAAACTCGTGGTCATTTTAGTCAACCGTAGGCTGACTCATTAATTAATGACTTCATGCAGCGACCATTATGGAATAGCAGTTTCGTATATTTATAAAATGCCATATAAACATTGAGTATTTGGAAAAATGTGTTGGTAATCATGCTGAAAACAGCACAGAGTATGCTTAATTTATACAAAACGCAAACAGTTTTGCTAGCTTACTGACCAGTACCGATGTTTCTACCATTTTTTTACGGACTCTGTTGTTCATAGCGGATGGTACGCGTGGAGCCAGAAGGTGAGCATTTCGTCGCAATAATTTCTTAGCGACAGGGGCGACAAGGCTCATCTAATCCGTACAGAATTCACATCGTTTACCGCGGTTGATATGGTGACAGGATTAAATTATTAATGTGTTTTGAATGCGTCTGTCCTACGAGTGACTTTCTTCGATGATGCTGGGGCACTCAGACCCTCGATGGTGTTCTCCCTGTGTTATTTGTTCACGTTGAGGGAGATGGGTCTTCATTTTCCTCTACGCTGCTTTGTTACGACATCGTTTAACCTGTTGCGCGAGCATCCAGCTTGGTAGGAGGATTTATGATCGTTGAGTGACGGTTTTCCCTCTTCCTGTTACGTAATATCTCCCGCAATTATACGAAAATTTGTAAATGTACTTAGTTACTGGCACAGATCGGTTATGTGTATTAATATATTAAGTACGTTATGCATATAATATATGGATGAGTATAAGACTTAAAAGCTGAGATATTATCTGTACTTATTGCTTTAACGGAGGTCTGAAATTCGGCAGCGTTGAACTTGTTAAAGAAGATTAAGATTAATTAAGATTAACTTAATTTAATAACAACAGTCGTACACTTGAATTTTCGATGTCATAAACCACGGAATAACCTACTGTAAATTGACTTGTAACAGAAAACCCAAAAATATTTTAAACATCAATAATCAGGTAATGTACACAGAAATAAATTAGCAAATTATACATATTTAAACATACGCCTACCTGATGGTGTCGAGAGGGCTGAGCCGAATAGTCCCATTCCGGGAGGGAGGTCATTGAACATACGTACCAGTGACTTGATTGGATGTGAAGCCCGTAGCTGCGTTAGTTGTACGAACCAGCGTTCGATGGCACTCGGTCCGTATTCAGAATGCAACGTCAGGTCCCTTTCGCCATCACGCAAAAGACAAAAACGCTTCAGGGTCTGAAAGTCATCCAAATTGCGGTCTGGTAATGAGGTGCCGGTAATCAGGCATTTCAGCAGGGCCGCAATGCGCAAGAACTCCATCGAACGGACGCAGATAGACTGAACTATAGAATCCATAAACTCTTCTTCTTCCTTCTCGGTACATGTAACCTTTAAGGATGGTATAATAAGCTACAAACGTCAATCAAATGTCAAAAAACTGGAAAATTTTCTTTCTGCACTGGCCGTCAGATTAAAAAACAATAAAAATTTATTTCATTCTCTATGCTGAACATTACGCTGTCGTCATTACATTGTCTGCACCTTGGTAGAAGCCCCAGAACAAATTTTCAATGGTTCCGCAACTGAAACAAATTAAACTCACCAAAAGGGAATATTATAATCAGTTACGCTATTAACTTCTGTGAAATGAGGCAGCGGTACGTAAGAGAAACTGCAAGAGAAGTGGCTGTGCCCGAGTTTACTGAGGAAATCTCTGAGCGGGTCAAGCGTCACAAAACCTTTACCTGAAATCCCATTTGGCCGAGATGAAGGGCACATGGATATTGCGTCAGGGTCGAGTGGCCATCGCGGACCGTACCCGCGATCGAACGGAATAAGAAGCACAAATAAAACTGGCCCCAGTACACGGTGTGGAGTTCATGTCAGACTAGGTAAACTACACTATACGATTGAGGGAGAAAAATGGCCTTTAACAATGACGGATGGGTTCCCACGGGGATGTAAGCGCCCAACTGGCTCAGATAAGGTATGGAATAATGTTGCGACGAGGCAGAAGGGCGTGGGCACCGAGACTAAGTAATGGCGATTACAGTAAATTATGAAGACAGATTCTTCAACTGTTGTTGTTGCCGTCAATGACTAAAGATTTTATTTACCGATTTAACTGGTCTAAGTTAAGAGACAGCGGAAATGTCATTTGCCAATTTGCATAAAGCAATAATGAAGCAACAGGTCCTATGATTTCCTTAGATACTAGTGCATATGTTTCTTTCACTGCCGTTTATTTTCATTTATATATTGTCCATACAGTGACCCCGTGTACGGTAATGAAACGCACTGATAAAACAGAAAAGAAATAGTCGTTATGCAGACATATGAGGAATGGATATTTCCCACCATAGCCATTTACAGTGGTAGCGATTATGTTACACAGAGGCGCAGAACTCGCGACAGTCTGATACAAACTAACGAAACAAGAGGCTGATGTTGCTCAGATCATCATTATGAGCCGTTTGAATAAGCAGAACGTCTCTGGTTTGTGACATCTGCTGTCAGCGTTCAGTCCTGCGTTGCCCCATGAATCTGTGAAAGTGGACAGAGGTCAGCTGCATCAACTAGATAATCCAGCCCCACATGTTATATATGAATGGCCGTTGTCAAACAGCGAATCTTCTATTATAATTCCGCTGTGATGACCGTGTGGTGTAATTACGTCAGCACGCAATCAGCGGTCGCGAATTTGAGTTTACGATAAGTAGCAGATGATCATCCATATCAACTGCCTGATTTCACACATCATATTGCATATCAGTGCCAAGCTCTATGTGAGTACAATGCATCATGGTTGTCAAACAATGAGTATCAACCATTTCATTTTATTTTATGATTCCATCGTGGTCGTGGTGACAGCGCGAGGTCGCTAGGTCATTTGATCAGCAGTCAAGTCTGTAAAATTATGGGTGGTAATGATCTTTGACAATCTTTCAATTTAGCCATGAGTTTGCGCCAAGTCTTTAACTGAGCAACAGTGCTGTAGCTTCGAGACTCAATACACTAGTTAAAGTTCTATCATCAAGCGCAGAGGATGAACCTAATTTGGTTACCCGTTCGTCATCGAATAATATACAGTCCGGTGTGATAATACTACTTAGTGCGTTCAGAGGCTATGCAAAACACCTCGCTATCTTTAGACATTCCAGACACTCAAATTTGCCTACAATGGATGGATTAGTCTGGAGGCCAAATTCTTCGAAAATTCACGAATTAAA